ATACAACAATGATGATGTACTTTATGGCATCTAAAGAAACATAAACAAGTTGTTAGAGAGAATTAGTACATAGATGACAGGCAGGTTTATGGTTGTTTCAATACCTATTACTCCAATATCATCAAGGCAACAATAAATATTTTTGAAGCAATCTCTAACAAAGCATTAAAATGACAAAATGTAGCCACCTGGATGCTACATCTAATCTAAACACTATTAGTTAAATTTTTTCAAGTTCTAAGAATTTGTTCTAGATGCTGAATGCTAACTGCTGACAACTGGATGTTGGAGTATGCATGACTGCTAAAATTCATAAATGCAAATAGTTGTGTTTCTTGTGTGTTTATCATATTAGAATCGTAACAAAGACCTCGATTTTATGATATATGTCAAATATATGACCTCAAATTTTATTCTGGCCATTGCCAAAGACCTCAATCGCTTCGCAATTTTGGTCTTTTAACAATGAGCAGAATAAAATTTTCGGTCATATATTACGCCATAAATTATAAAATCTTGGTCTTTATTCCTTAAATATCTTACCATTTTAGTAGGTAGTGACATAAAATCAATGTGTGTACAAAAGTGTAACATCTTGAAGTCTCTGACTGCCAACAGCCTAATTTTAGTAACAAAAATGCTTTTAGCAATATCAAACATTCAGGTTTTTGATCATTTGAACCCACGTGAGCTAATATTATCATGACTTCAACTAATTTAAATGAACAAGGAAACAAACCTGCATCTTTGAGTTTCTTGAGGAACTGAGGAACTATAGATCATTTCTACTCAAGCAATCTGCATGGGTTCTTTCACTTCATGTTCATATAACACCCAGAGCTTTAGTACCCACTCTTTGCCTGCCTGAAAATCAAAGTGTGAAGAGCATTTAATATACAGTCAGTTCTTGGATATGTTATGCATGGAAATAGTCCTTTTGCATCTGTAAAAAAGCATCTCATATTGAAATTTAGATTCATTCAAATGCTAACTTACCATCCTATTTGGCCAATGCAGTTGTGCTCTCTGGCTAATGACATTTTCAGTTCATTTTCCCCATAGAATATAAAAAATACCCTTCTCAAAAGTGAAATTGACTGAAAAGGCTATAAATATTGCCTATACCTAACATTAATAAGACAATGCATTAAATGCAATGGTGCAAAGATAAAGTGTTTTGCACTGTAAACGGTGAAGTGGACTATTTGATGATTAAAAAATTTCACCTTTTATTGAAAATGGTTGGATATTTGAATATTTGAAAAACATTTCCAATATTTTTGCTTATGTCTGTTAATTTTGGACCTTTTGATAGTAAAGGCTTAAGAGATTTTTCTACAGCGATGCTTGATCAAAATATGAAAATTTGAAAATGAATTCCACAGATCATCAAAAGCAAGGCTTTTTGGCCAGAGTTCAACTCAGTTCATAACATGAAAAAGTTTCACACCAACTGTTAAAATTATGAGAAAGCTGCTAGTAAAGGCTTAAGAAGATCTGGAGATATTTCATCAATGATGCTAGATCAAAATATGAAAATGAATTCCACAGATCAACTTGCTTTTATAAATGTCACTACATGAAAAGGTTTCACACCAACCGTTGAAATTATGTTGAAAGATTAAGTGTAGCTAAATTAAACTGGCTCTCTCTAAAGCTGGCCAGATATAAGTATTAGCAGTATTACCAGGAGCTTTTCTTGCATCAAAATGAGAAAAATATGCCAAATAAACAATCTGGGGATTTGTTGTACTTCCCACCATTCTATGGTCTGTCCACTTGGGTAATCCACATAACATGGTAAAATAGCTATGTCATTTTTCCTTGCATAAAAATTCCCGATAGCTAAAATTGTAAAATAAACACATTTCTAACTTAGGACTTAAGGACTAGAATAATCATAATCATATTCTTGGGTTGTACAACGCTGTTTTAGAAACGGTATTGTACAGCGTTGTTAAACAATACCGTTCAACACTGTTTAAAACAGTGTTGTACAGCGCTGTTTAAACAACACTGAACAATACCGTTTAAACAATAGTATACAGTACTGGTCGTACAATGCCGTTTCCAAGTTTTAATATGAAACGTATATGTATCATCATTTTATTTTTTGTAAATATAGCACGGTGTATAGGCTGATGGAATATTTAAATACGGTGTAAATGTGTTTAGTTACTTATTTTTGAAAAAAGGAAACTTCTTATTTAAGATACTTTTAAGTACTTTAGAGACAGAAATCAGAGATTGGAATGCTTACTCGCGCAGTAGAAGTAAAACAATTAAAATTGATCAAAAAAGAAAATGTCTTATAATTGTCAATATGTTAGTATTCTCAGTCCGTGAACGTTTATAGTTTAATTTTGGTATAAACTTATATAGAACGTTCGCGCCAATAACTGAGATAGATAGACTTCCGACAAATTTCGTCGTGCAGAAGCATGATTGACATTGTCAATGCATGTGCTGGTTCATTTTTTCTGTGAATAAGCAGCTTTTCAGTTAAAAATAATTTGGGGGAAAATATTGAAACTTGTAAAAACAACCCGCTCCCGATACATCATCCAAATTAGTCGATAACATCCCGTGATCTAAAAAACAAACACACAGACCTTTCAAAATCATATAAACAGGGCACCATTGAAATTACAATTTGTACAATATATTTACCTATCATTGTTTACAATAACGAAATATTATAAAAACCAACCCACCTTGTGCGTCAATTCCCTGAATCACAGTATAAATCAGCATACAAATCAAAAGAATCGACATGATCCAATTACTGTTCAACTATATACTTACGAACACATATATGAGTTGTGCCATAACGTTATTGTTGAATTGCGTCATTTACTTTCAATTACGATACCCTTATCTGATAAAAATTGCATGAATGGTAAACGATGCTGTTTGACCCGGGGGAGTTTCTTTTTATATCAATGGGTTCAAAAATAGGATTTTGCTTTTAAATACCCATAGATTGACAACTTTTTTTATTCTTATAATGGAAACGCACCTACAAGTGGGTTAAAATTGCGTTTTGATACCAATACTATTTCTGGCAATCTGCGATAAAAACGATATAAGACACCGTGTAAGAGAAGTAATAGAAATTCCAACATGACCGTGCTCTAACTGAATTTCTCAACCAATCAGAATGTCAAGGAGGTATGGTGATACTACTAGCGAAGTCAGATGTCCAGAAATGAGCCCTTTATAGTTCTTTTTCAGGAAAGCAGCAAACTTGGCACAGTTGTAGAAACACTTGATCCGACTAAAAATGATTTCGGGGCAAGTGATTCGGGTGGTCGTCATTTGTGATAAAAAACAGCGGAACGGTGATAGAGAATGGAATGTTTTATTTAGTGTTAGAGCCTACAGAGCACAGAGGATATATTGTTATTTCAATTTGCAATTGGTCTTTTTGGAATTTCAACCTATGTTTCATTCCATTAATACAATGCTATTTGTCATCTGTCACTATGCGCCATGATTAAATAATTATAACATTCTTTAATAAAAAGATTTGCAATCGAATATACTAGTATTCAGTAAGTAACTGTAAGTTCATGAGGTCATTATGAACTCCTCTATAACAAAATGAAATAGCAAATAAATATCTTTTAATATGGAATCTTTTCAAAAATCAGCTAAAAGCGTGGGAAAGGCATGTTCCAGAATTTGACATATCTGTGAATGAACTCTAGACAATGAATTGCATGTATGACAAATACAAAAATGTTTTTATGTGAGGTACACCGTTAAGGGGAAGATTTGTGAATAACATAAAAATCGAACCCCTAGTCACCAATTGCTGGCTACGCCACTGATATTCAACACATTTTAAGTGACATTTAATCCAAACCATGAACACATGTTTGAAGCCACCTTCACTCGTCACAAGCACTCTGTCTAATACCACCTTTTTCAGATCTTTTTCTGTCTTGGTAAACTCTCCACAGAATTCACATTTTAAGTCCCCATAGAAATAAAAGTCTGAGGAGGCCATGTCTGGTCAGTTAGTGCCTATTCCCAGTTAATATTAGTTGTTTGATCCCCATGCTGTCCAATTGCTTCTGTGTTATTAAATGTGTTGTATGGCAAGGTACATTATCCTGATGCAGGATGAAGTGATCCACCAACTTTGGTCTTTTTGCAAATGGCATTCAGACATGTGTTCATGAACTGGATTAAACATCACCAAAATGTGTTGAATATAACAGCAAACATATAGAACACCTAAAATAAACATCTGAGAAAATCAGAATGTACAAGAATGCTTTGAATGTAACAAAGTATGGTGGCATTTCCAAAATTCAAAACCATTAAGAAAACAAAAACATCATAATATTTCCTTTCTTTTTTGACCTTTGAATTTTTATTTATTTAACCTGCAATGAAAATACTTATACTACTGATGGAAACGTAATTTGACTTTATTTCCAATACCTCCAAATCTTCTCAATTTTTTCCTCAATTACAATAAGTCGAAAATTGATGATGAATGTCATGAATTTTTGAAAATCGACATCCCCATGTTAACCAATGGGAAATGGTAGGTTTGCTGCAAGTCATATGACAGAATATCCATCCATCCGAGTCATTGCAAAAATACGAGTTAGGCAGGCAATTGAATTTGCTAACTTTATTTGACAAAAATTGATATGTTTCTTAAGGTTCAACAAAGTTATAGGGCTTCAAAATCACAATCGTTTTTCAAAAAACCGCTCCCATTTAAATAACACAGGAGACGAAAAATTATTTTCATAAATGACTTTGAAGCGCTGTAACTTTAGTATTCATCAAATAAACTAAACACTTAGTGTACATAAAAGTTAGACAATTCAATTTTCTATAGCTCTATATGAATATATTTTTTGCTGAATATTTTACTGAAAAGATATCCTGATTTCTGATTTGCCACGAATCCCCATTTCCCATTGGATTACATGGGAATGACGATTTTCAAAAAGTCAAGTTACGCTTCCATCAATATCATAAGTTATTTAATCGCCGGTTAAGTAAATAAGAATTCAAAAGTAAAGAGGCTTTAACACGTAGTTCAATGGGGGAGCTAAGGCTGCCAAACTTATGGAGGGGAGTGTATGACATATGATACTGACACACGTTTGTGATAAAAATGTCATCGGAATTCTGAACTCATGAAATAAGGAAATTTCGTACCTTCGAGGTTCTGACATTTTGTTACCGAAACAATCCGTTACAGTGTAATCAAGTGAGTATCAGTGAAATAACCGCGTGTTCCTGATCACATGTATGACATCGTTCACTTTGACTAGACAAGTACATGAAATATGGCTTTGATTAATTTTTTCCTTCTGATGACATTTTGTTTGGAGTTTTCTGACAGCAGTAGCATACTTCTAGCACCATTGGATGTAGGTTACAATAGTCGAACGAGAAATGTCCTAAAAGTTGGGCGAATGTTACTGCAAGCTGGCCATGAAGTGACTGTAATCGTGTCAGATAGAATTCAAAATGAACCTCTGTTTAAGCATGCTGAGGGCTCTAACTTTGACATTGCGTTCAGGGTTTTGACCTATAAGACCCCTTCATTTGATCCGGATACAGCTCAATCTACAGCAAGTCAGGAATGGCTCAACTCTATGGTATTCAGCCCCTATACCACCCTTCTACAAATAATCAGTCAAGCATTTGAACAAAATTTGAAATTTGCATTACAAGACAAGGATGTATGGAATGAACTAGCAGCATCAAAGTTTGATTTGATTTTTGCAGACGAAGCTGCAATTTTCCCGAGACTGGTTTCTGCATATTTTGACATACCAATGATCGTGTACTGTAACTGGGGTCCAATGTCTTTTGATGCCAATTTTGCTCCAAAATTTAATTTGGCATTTGTTCATGCTTTTTTCCCAGCAACCTACACTGATGAAATGACATTTACAGAACGGTTCATGAACGTTGTAGAGTATTGGCGTATAAAATGGATGTGGTATGATATATACAATCGATTTATCTCTATCTGTAGAGAACATGGCTACGGTGATGCATGTGACAATATTCGAGATGCATACAAGACTATATCACTGTTCATGATGAATAGAAATGATGCTATCCATTACCCTGCCCCATATATGCCCCATATCATATCTATCGAAGGATTTTTCTTAGAGACTGAAACAAAGCCTTTGGATATAGAGTACAGCAGTATCATCAAGAAAGCAGGAAAACATGGCGTAATTATTGCTAGTTTTGGATCTTTGCACCGTCGATTAGATCCTAAAACGAGTGAAAAGTTTGCAACTGCCTTCGCTGCAATGCCTCAGACCGTCATATGGAGCTATGAGGGTCCCCCACCAAAAGGACTTGGAAATAACACCATTGTGAAAGAATGGATTCCTCAAGACGATCTGTTGGCACATCCTTCTACAAAGTTATTCGTGACACAATGTGGAGCATCTTCCTTATTTCAAGCATTGCATTATGCTACACCGACTGTCGGAGTGCCGTTCTTTTGGGACCAGCCTTTTAACTGCCACAAGCTGACTCACAGAGTTAAGTCTGGGAAAACAGTTTTGTTGACAGAAATGACGAGTGAAAGGCTTAGTAACGCTATGAAAGAGGTGATCGGTGATAAACGCTATAAAGAAAATGCAAATAAAGCCGCTGATATCTACCATAGCCAACCTATTGATCCAAAGAAAAAGGTTATGTATTGGATAGAGTACGTCATCAAACACAAAGGGGCACTTCATTTGAGGTCGGATGCAGAAAACAAGCTAAATTTTTTCCAGTACTATCTACTTGATATAATTGCATTGGTTGTGTGTTCTTCAATTATGTTTGGTGGTATTGTCGCTTTTGTTATCAAGTATTTGATTCAATACATAATACGCCGATTGAATAACAAAATAAAAAAGTACTAGGCAATGCAACAGTGACATTGAAAGAATCAATTCAAGTGCTCTTTTTACTATTCATACAAATGATTGGCTTTCGCTGTACTACAGGGTGGGCCAAAAAACCACCCCCTAGCCGATAATCGTGATAAATATTCATTTTTTAACATGTACACCAACAATGATATATCATTTTAAAGATAATTTAATTTGCAACAAAATGATATAATAGAACAATATTCAACAACCCCGGCTCGAGATATAACCATTTATGTGTCATGGGGGTCAAAAAACACCTTTTCAATTTTCATCGATTTTGCGAACAATAGCCTATTTCTACCAAATTTTACTGTTCAGTTAAAAATAGCAACATTGTCATGAGTCTTTCATAATCGGATATTATATATTGTTTTCATTCACTTTTTGAACCATACATGCTCAATATACATATGAACGCTTATAAAACTAATTCATTTCTTCTTCAGTCAGTCCAAATATGGCTCAAATAGACCCACCCCCGGACCCATCCTCTGATCAGATTATTCGCTTAAGACGCGGAAGCCATTGGTTGCTGGCATAATTGATGGATGTATGCGGAAGTACCATTCAACTGCTAGTTATTCTTTGTTTTAGTTCCTCTACATCCCTGATAGTCTGGGTATATTTAAATACCAAGAATAATCAACATTATTGGCATCTGGACTGTCAGTAAGCCATTTATCTGGGCTAGAGATGTTGTCATTTCGAATCTCCAAAAACTCCAGGGTAGCATTGGACCTGTGTGAAGAAGCACTTTCCTATCAGAAAATGATATTTTATATCTTTGAGGAGTTCTTTTTACCACCTCATGTCATTAACATTCAGAGTATATTTTTGCTCCTGGTTCACCCAAAACAGGTCCTGTAGGGTCTTTCCTTTTTGGGAAACACCGAGTGGACACCACTATCCATTCAGAAAAATGTAATCTCGATTTGAGTAGCCTTTTATTGCAAATGCCCCTATTATTGCTTACTGATATATAGAGTCTATCCTGTTGATTACATGTGTACTATTTGAGGCATTTAGAACAGTTGGTCTATGAAGATCACTAGCCTATCAGGGATGTAGACAAACTGAAAGAATGAATAATTAGGAGTTCGATGGTACTTCCGCATAGATCCATCAATTATACCAATGGCTTTCGCGTCTTTAGCGAATAATCCGATCAGAGGATGGGTCCGGGAGGTGGGTCTATTGAGCCATATTTGGACAGACTTAATAAGAAATTAATTTGTTTTATACGCATACACATGTTTATTGAGCATGCATGGTTCAAAAACTGAATGAAAACAATATATACATAATATCCAATTATGAAAGACTCATGACAATGTTGCAATTTTTAACTGAACAGTAAAATTTGGTAGAAATAGGCTATTGTTCGCAAAATTGATGAAAATTGAAAAGGTGTTTTTTGACCCCCATGTCACATAAATGGTTATATCTCGAGCCAGGGTTGTTGAAAATTGTTCTATTATATCATTTAGTTGCAAATTAAATTATCTTTAAAATGATATATCATTGTTGGTGTACATGTTAAAAAATGAATATTTATCAGGAATATCGGCTAGGGGGATGGTTTTTTGGCCCACCCTGTAGATTTAGTTATCACTTTTATTGATTTAAATGTATTTCTATAGCTTCGATCTTCAGCTTCTACACTGCACTAATCTTTTTATCTACATACTTTTAAGTGTACAATGAATGTACAATTAACGAAGGACAAGTAGGATTTACAAAAATATTAATTTGCAAAATTATTGATCAAAATCTATGGTTTTTCGAAAGTTCTAGACAGTGATTTTAATCAATAATGACAAATTCCTTTATTAGTTGAAATGGGCACGAATAGTATAGTTAATTTCTAATGAAAGTGGTTCTTACAATAAATATTGTCGAGCTGTTACTGTTTTCTGAAATTTTACACCAATTGTTGTTATACCTAAAATCGTTATTAGAGTATGTTATTTCACCATCTTAAAGATGAGTATTTATACAAATATATGTTGAAAATAGTTAAAATTTGCAAAACATACATATTGCAATGTTATGAATATGTTCATCCAGTGTATTATACGATCGGATGTCAGGCTGCCGCGTCGACCGGTAACCAGCAGGTCCAACGCTCTGGATGGCTATTTGGACTGTTTGAAACTGTCCTGTTTTTTTTTGCATTTACGTATACATTTTATTTACAAGGTAATCACTTCTTGTGTTCATTTCATACATCGTGTCCAGAAAAGGAAGCATATTCCGAGATTATTTTCGATCCCTCCACCAAAAAGTTAAATTATACCTGAGTTATATAATTCGCTTTAAACAGATTGTATCTTATATCTTCATATGCTGGGCACCTTAGTAAGAAATGCTGTACATCTTTATGACATTTCTAAAGTTGGCGATGTTATTGTCAGATTAAATCCTATGACAATATTTTTATACATAATATTTGTGCACTTAATTCTTGCTATGTTTTACTTTTTTACATTATCAAAAAATATATTTCATATTTTGTATTTGTTTGCAAATAAAGTACATGTTTGAAACATTTTTGTTCCATTTTGACAAGTTGTGTTTCCATATGCTAGTCTATTATTTATTTTTGAAGTTAAATTCAAAGAATTACGTGTATGTCTTGTCCATTATCTTTTGCTGATAAATGTCCCAATGGTTTCTTGTTGTATGTTAAATATTCTATTTCAATATTTACCAATATTCCTTTGATAAGTCTGATTTTGTAAGATATTGTAATAGAATTTAGCTTTTTGTTCTGTTCTCTTCATCCATAAAATTATAATTTTCCATTAAAAGCATTGGTTTGTTGTCCAAGACCTTAATCAATAGAAGCAACAAACAAATACAAATGCCACAAGCTATAGCCCTTTACACAATAGTAAGCATGATACATTTCACAAACTGTCCTGAAAAAGACCAGGTATAGCACAGCAAGTCATATCTTTCACTAAGAGTACTCTCTGGCCATAAATACAACAGTTATTTCTGCGGATGGATGTGCTTGTTAGTGGTGAATTGGTCAATGTTCATAAATACGATGACGTTTTGGCACTCCTTCTTTGTAAGAGAGCAGAACTTTGGAATTTCGTGGATATTTTTGTTGAAATTATTTTGACATGAAGGTGAGTTGTTTTGCTGTAATTCTTTGAAATCGATGGGCTGCGATTTGAGAAATTTCAATCTAAACTTGGTTAATTTAACATGCATCTCTATGGTTCAAAAAGTGACTGGAGAGTTCTACCATGGGCTTTCAAGAGAGGACTCTGCTGGTGCTGCCATCTTATTGTTGGTAGGTTGTTTATTAAATATCACGTGGGGTTGTACAAACAGGACAATTTTGAAAATATAATTCATACAACACCTTTCATTGTTCACAATAATTAAATGTTATGAAATATAATTAAATATAATAAGAACACCCCGCCATGTGCGTCAATTCCCTGATTAACAGAGGCTATTAGCAGAAAAATCAAATGATGCAATTACTGCTTCAGTTATCAATCAGCACTTTTATGATTTGTACCATGAAGTAATGGTTGAATTGCGTCATTTGTTCGATCCACTTTTACAATTACGAGAACCTTAACTGATAAATGGATTACATTGATAAACAATGCTGTTCATTGGCGGATCTTGGGGGGGGGGACTGGGGGCCTTTCAGGCCAAATTTTGAAGAAAATGGGCCTCAAAATATTGGCCCACTTTTGGGTTTTAGGGCCCAAAATCTTTTTCCGCGCAAGTTTTTTCTCTGACATAAAATTTGCCCCCCCCCCCTTATTGGTTCCCAGATCCGCCCCTGCTGTTTGACTTGGTGGTAATTTCTTTTGCATGTTAATATCCATACACTGACATTTTGTTTTGTGGAGTTTGTTTTATATTCAAATTTACATAAATGTCAGAAAATGCAATGTGTATATCCTAAAATCGAATTTGTTAAATGTAAATAAAGATTCGAGCATAAAGAGGCTTTAACACGTAGTCCAATGGGTGAGCTAAGGTTGCCAACATTTGAAGGGAAGTGGACCTGGAAATCAAAAACAGCATTGGACAAAAAGTCACTATGCATTTTTAATCCATTTTATTGAAAATATGTTGGTCATTAAAGTACTAAACAATTTCAATCCTTGTGGGGCAAGTAGCATCGTTAAACGATGCGAGATCACCCGGTCCAGTTTTCTTTGGATATAACGTACACCAGAACACTGTATTATGATGGATTATGTTCGCAAAGAACTCATGCGTCATAGTCATATACACTTGGTCTCCTTCATACGAGTACTCCTTACGAGTATACAGTTGTCTCCCGTCATCCCTGTACCATTCCATTGGGAAGGATGAACCATGGGAACTTTGTCTACACACTACGTATACTCTATCATTCAGAGATACTTGCAGAACCTGGTCCTGGCAGTTGGGTCCATCTGAAAATAACAAGTTCAACAGTGATTGCAGGTCTTCATTTCCTCTCAGGATGTGAATGTTTTGTGAAAGACCGTTTGATAACCTTGTGGACTTTAGACTAGTTGAATTTGTCTGTCCGATGCCATATACAACTTACCTAGATCAGGGTCCCTTTTAATATTCCTCAGCATATATTTCAATGACATGACAAGTTTATGAACGTCTCTTGTTTTGGTTGTTATAATGGCTCTTGAATGGATGGGAAATGGACTTGTTGGATATTAGGTCAGAAGCTGAGCAGATTTTTAAAAATAAGTTTGTCTCCTAAGTTTCTCACTGGATTCATGTAGAGCAAGGTCTTGGGCTTATTTTGAGCTTGGGTTCTCGGTTCTAGCCCCGGCAACGAATGTGAAAATTGGTCCTATATGTGGCGCCCCCTACAATTTACCCCCAAATTTAAAGCTAATTATTATTTGCATAACTGAAACATTAAGACATCTCAAATAGCTTAAACTGATCAATGGTACATTAAATTATGCATTAAAAAAATTTTCAATGTGTGAAAATCAAAGTTTATGGAGAAATAGTTGATTGACCCCTTAAAACCCACCCTATTTTAAAGGGGGTACTTAAGTTAACTTCCGTAACTTTTGTGTTATTTAGTATTTGGACTTAAACATATTTCTGAATATGTACAATTATGGTGTTGAGAGACTGCAGTAACCCTGTTGTCATTGCTTTATTACTTTTTGAGAAAAAAAATAAAACGTATTTCCATATAATTTGGTCTTGTATTATTTTCAGATAAACCATCATCTATACTTTCCACACCTTATACCCATGCATAGTATTAATACTTTTCTTTCATTTTAGACCAATATAGATGACTGTAGCTCATATAAAATAAATAAAATAAAAAATTTAAGCAGAAATTATTGATTTACCCCTTAAAACACCTCTTATACGAGGGGTGATCAATAAGTAATGGACGCTTTTTTACACAGATACTTTTTATGGACCAATCCCTTTGATTTTCCTACCAGTGATACATCATTCAATTATCTATCAATTCTGAAAATTTGAAGACAAAATATATAATACATGTTGATATATCTTTATTTCCGTGAAGGAGGTACAGGTACCCCGGGACCGACATTTACGTCACATATTCAGTCATTAGCCAGTTTGGCAAATTTCAGTTAGCTATAAACTTTTTTTACAGGGTGACAAAAAAACTGGAACCCACTTAAGTCTTAATAACTTCGTCAATTATGCATATTGAGCTTAGTTATTTGATACATGTATAGTCAACTCAATGGTGACAGGTCATCTCAACCCCAAGTCATCTCAACCCAGTCCAACTCAACCCCAAGTCAACTCAACCCCAAGTCAAGCCAACCCCAGTAAAACTCAACCCCAAGTCAACTCAACCCTGTAAAACTCAACCCCAGTAAAACTCAACCCTATTCAGTTGTGCAATGTCTAATTTAATTTCTTATGAAGAATAATTTGAGTCATTAATTTCTGAAAATCTAGCATTTTGCATGCTTTGAATAGAAAGTTGTAAAAGTATTAAAAAACCGATTAAGCTCAAGGATAATTCATCAAGTTGTCACTATTATTGAATTTAAGACATATTTTGGAATCAAATTTTAGATAATTTAGAAATAATTAACAATAGAATATAACTTTTTATTTATATGAACATGCTTTAACAAAATCATTAACATTTAGTAATTAATAGACTGAAAGCATAGACGTAGCCAGGAGGAGTTCGCACACACCCTCCCCCCAATTTTGAAGGAAGTTGCATCATTTTTTTGTCAAAACATATCTTTTTTTGGCTCGCTTATGCCACGATCGGCACCCTCTGACTGAAAACCTAATTTTTTGGGCGATCGCATCCCTCCTGACTGAAAGCTGGCTATGCCCCTGGAAAGCAACGGTCATGTTCCAGTTTTCCAAATAATCAAGAGTGTCAACCTCATAGGGATTACAACAAAACAAATGTATTAGCAAGATTAATAAAATGACCCATATTTTAATCCTATTAGTACATGTTGACATTTTGGAGATAAACTCATTATTAACTATCATCCAAAAAAGGCAGTGGTCTAAGAATGAAAATCACAAACTGAATCATTCGAATTATTTTTATGAAATAAACTTTCTCATAAGTTTATCAATATATAGAAATATAGGGGTTGAGTTTTACTGGGGTTGAGTTTTACAGGGTTGAGTTGACTTGGGGTTGAGTTTTACTGGGGTTGACTTGACTTGGGGTTGAGTTGACTTGGGGTTGAGATGACCAGGAAGCAACTCAATGTATGACAAGATGTCAAAGTTTGAGCATTCTAGCTCAAATAGTCTTCAAATGAGGCATGTCTAGATAATGTGCTCCAAATGTGCACCACGACGTTGGATGCAGAGCTTGATTCTTCTTGCAAAATTGTCAATGACCCGACTGCATTCATCTCTGTCTATCTCTCTAATTAGTCTTCCAATATTGAGTTTGAGGTCATCAATGGTCAGTGGACTATCTGTATACACATTATCCTTGAGATACCCCCACAGATAAAAAATCTGGGGGGGGGGGTTCAAATCATGGGAGTGGGGGGCCCAGATGTGGCGGGTACGGCAACTGATTAATCCATCGAAGCCATCGAATGGACTCATTTGAGGTGTGGGGTGTGGCACTGTCTTGTCACAACCATTGATGGTCCCTTCTCAAGTCACGTCATCTACCCAGCGTTCTCCAAAACTTTCGAACATTAGGGATGTAACGTTCTGAGTTGACTGTTGAGTTGTCTTGAGTTCTGACAGACCTCTGTCTCCCTGAATAGGATGGTTAACCATCACTTTTCTTCTTTGTTGGTTTTACAGTTCCTTCTGAATCAAACTTCTGTACAAGCCTAAAGATCTGTGCCTTGCAAGGGGCTCTTCCTGCCCTGTGATCTCTCCTATAGGCAATTGTGTCTCTTTATAGGATTTTGTCTCAATATACTTTCTCACAATATAAGTCTTTTCTTCTGTCGTCCATGGCATGATTAATATCTAAGCTACAGTACTCATTATGGTGTCATTTTGTCATGCACTTAGTCTAGTTTCTTCCCTGAAGAAATGAAGAATGTAGGTATGATACTTTCCGAGAAATTTGATGATTTATGGGTTCCAGTTTTTTTTGTCACCCTGTATATGCAACAAGTGTTGTGTTGTTTGAAATGTTTTGCTGACTGGTAGCACACAAACAGTAAGTATTGTGATGTCAGAGTGTTGTATGGTAGGGGTTTGCAGATCAATTTGAGAAAGCATTGTGGAAGAAGGGGTTGATGAGAGAACGGAACATCTTACTCAATATGGACAATGCACCTGGCCACAGATCTCAAAATGTTCAGAAAACAATATCCCTTGACCTCAAAATCGAGCCCTTGCAAATTTTCCAATGCACCACATTGTCCAGCTCTGGCCACACATGACTCATTTATTCCTATACTACTTATTTCTATACAGAAAGGACGCAGGTTTATTGACATCGATGGAATAAAACAACCCGTGCCATTGCATCTTGCTACCATGTCAGAGAATGGATTCAGCCTTGTCTCACAATCTTGAGTTAAGAGGATGAGGAATTGTGTACATGTAGCACGATGGAACTTAGGTAAAAGGCCCTGTAGAATGAATGTGGCATGAATACCACATAGTGATGATAAAATATTCAAAATCGACTATGGCATAACGAAATGGGGTAAATCATGACCATAATGGTTTATTTTGTTCAGCCTTCATTCAACTGCGTTGCATGTTAAACAAGCTTTTAGCTTCAGAATGTTTGACGTAAATGTCGGTCCCGGGGTACCTATACCTCCTTCACGGAAATAAGGATATATCAAAATATATTACATGTTTTGTTTTCAAATATTCAGAGTTGATAGATAATTGGATGATGTATCACTTGTGAGAAAATCGAAGGTATTGGTCTATAAAAAGCATCCGTGTAAAAAAGCGTTCATTACTTATTGATCACCCCTCGTATAGGGGATACATACACTATAGCTTCTATAACTCACTGTAACTTATGTTTCGTTCAAGATTTAGGTTTGAAAATATCCTTGAATTTGTGTGCGGGAGACTTAATAGTTAACCTTTGCTCCTAAATAAATAAATAATGTACCATATGCTGTTGTCTTTGTAAATTATCTCAAATTCAGATTCTGTTGTCATTGACGATATCGAAGACGCTATATTGTGGTGATTCACGACCCCATTTGATAGAAATTTGGATTTCATATAATACATCATGAGCTTAATACATGCACAGAATTAGTGATGATAAAATCCCATGAGAAACGAGGACCAAGTGATTAAAGAGTTGAAGCGACAGTTATGTCCGCCATTTGTGACAACGGTATCTGACTTTTTCAAATACTCAGCTTGACCCATTGGAATATGGGATATTCTGTATATCACCTGATGATCTGATTTTACAATGTAATAAACCAGATGCGAATAGGCAGTTACCAGTTTCACCGCCAGGAGGCTAATTCGGGTAGAAAGTTCCCCTAAACTTGAATATTCATCAGCTTTAGTGTTTCAATTTTCATATTACCCTTATGTATCTGATAGTTATACACTGTACACATAAAAAGAAAATATCTTTCCAATACAAGCAAAGATATTTCACTTCTTGTGATAATATTAACGTGGGGTCTATGGGGATTCTCATCGACCTAGAAATTGCAAGAAAATTAAATTTTCAAAGTTGCAAAAACACATTACTAGATGTAATTTTACAGGTAGATTTCAAATATGATATCACTTTGACTGAATTTTGAATTTTTAATGGCGCAAATCAAGATTATTTCTACTTCCATCTAATTTATTATAGTAAGTGTGGTACAAAACAGATTATGTAAACTGAACAAAATAAATTGTTGCATGTTTTGTAAGTGCAAGGGACGTGGTAACTGTAATTACCATCTAATCAAGATTTTAGAAAGTGTTGTAAGTAATTCAAGAGGTCACTGAGATACTGTATGTATATATTTTGAAGAATCATCATAACACAACCAGCAGAAAATTTTTTCTTCGTATGTTGTATCTTCGTATCTATTGGTCAGGAAGACGAGAAATAATGCATATATTTGTTAAAGTGTACATGCATTAATATTTCTCCATATACAAAGAAAGGTATTTATTGGTTGTGTTGCAGTAATTGTGCCAGCACAACCCAGTCAATTAGGTCAGGACA